AGTTAAAGGGTTAAAATACCTGTTTAACAGGTTGGCTGTGAGTGCTATGCTTCTCTATATGCTTGGCTCTTCCTGACTTCTTAGAAATTCATGTAAAATAAAGCCGTTGGACTATAAACAACTCAAAATAGCACTGTAACTTTCATTACTTAAAAGAGTTCATTAAATTTACATTAAAATATTTTAGATTAAATTCTATTCAATATATATTGTAATTCTTGCATAAAAAATGTTTGAACTAGTGGCCTGCTCAGCCTCGTTTGAGTGATTGTTCCAAGTAAGAGCACCCCTGTATTGCAAGCTCTATTTAAGGGCTTCAGTGTTGGGTCTTAAAACGAACAGATTTAGTTGTGAGCCATGTAGATTGTATCTAGGGATAGTATTTGTGTATGGGTGTGGATGGAGCCCAATTAGGGAAATGTTATGTGGAGTGTCAACCAATTGAGATTGGACTAAATAAAAAGACAAGAACGAGAAAGTCTAAAGATCTTTGAGCTCTCTTGTCTAAAGTCTGGCAATGCAACCTTGCACTCTGCACTATAGTTTAGTGTACACTACATTGAACATTGCTTCAGTACAGCACAAGATATAACACTGTGGAATACTCTGTTCTTGTTTCAGAGTATGTTCATCTTCTTACATTACCTGAAGGGAACACCATTTCAAACAGCTGATCAAGGAAAAGCCCGAAGGCTGACACACTGGGAGCAACTTAACAATGGTGAACAATTCACAGAAACAAGAAAGTTCTTTACTTTGGTGCCAATCTTCTTGTGAGTCTGTTCAAGGTTGATAATTTCACAGAAAGTCTCAAAGTTTTTAAGGAGGACTTTCCATTTAATTCTTGTGGGGGGAGGGGGAAGGGATGGAGAATATGGGAATATTTTCCATACTGTTCTTTACAAATTTCCTTTGTTACTGACAAGGAGAGGTTTTTTAACAATCAAGAGCTTCTTGAGTGGGTGGTCACTTCCTTTATTCTGGTAACCTTAATGTTTGATTCAGTAGTGATAACATATATAGAAATTAGATGTTAGTCTCTCCCAGAGGTTAATTAGTCAAGACCTATTAATACACAATAGCATGCAAGGTTGACATGATGGAATTAATGCAAGATCTGCAGCGGATATTGCATTTATCATGTCAAGATCAAAGTCTGCCTGTTTTGCGAGCCTCTTGTTTGTGTAGTTTTCCCTCAGAGCAGATTTGTTCTTTTGGATTGATTTTGGCTTTTGTCTGATATCATGAATTATCAAACCACATGCCTGTGTAGTGTGCCTTGGTCTTAAGCTTCAGCAAATAACTCAGACCTTGGTGGTGATAATTCACGGTTTTGTTGCAAATAAAAAGAATTGCTTTTTACTAAAGATCTTGTCTAGAAAGCCGAGTTTTCATTAAAAAATCTGAGCAATTGACATAATGAGTCTTTACGGTGTTGTTGTCGCACAATAACTCATTCGTGTCTTAAGCTGTTATAGTCATTGGTGATGTTCACCAATGTTCACCAACTTTAAGTTTCTGTTTGATGTTCACCAATGTTCACCAGTGTTTTGTTTACTAAATATTGTTTACTTTTCTGTATGTTTAACTCCTAATAAGTTGTATTGGATTGAGGACCAACTCGCCGACGTCTCTACTCGATTTTATACGTCAGCGAGTTGGCGTCGGCAAGTTGGACCATCGGCGAGTTGACCATAATTCATAATTCACAATATCATACTCAACCTTATGTGTGTGTGTGTATGTAATTTAGCAGTAATAGCTTTTCAATCAACGTATTGTATTCGGATATGGTAAAGTTATCGTTTTATGTTATTCATATTGTATTATTGAACTTTATTGTAAGTAGACTAACATCTCCCTTTGGAGAGTACGGCGCAATAAAGAGATACTATTAAAAAAAAAAAAAAAAAAAAAAAAAAAAAAAAAAACTCAACCTTATCCAACAATTACTTATTATAGCAGTCTGTGAAAAAAGGATGGGGCTACCATGTAAAAAGTTATCATTATAGGTTTATTAATTGCTTTTTTTCTTAAACTTGGTTTCAGATTTATGGTGACAAGCTTCTACACAAAGTATGACGGAATTCATTTTGTCTTCAACTCACTATCCCTTCTTCTTCTCTCTCTGGTTCCCAAGTTTCCTCAGATGTATAAAGTGAGGTTGTTTGGCCTGAACAAGTATTGATAACATGAAGAACATCTTGGTAATGAGGAATTCACTGGATGATAGAAAAACTGCTCACAAGGAAAAGAAACTTAAACCTCTCTTCATGTGCTAATTCGTTTGCCAGGGAAATGATTTTAGAGAATATTCTTTTTTGACAGGAAGAGACAATGTATCTTCTCTAGATGATTACTTATTTAAGTGCTGTATATTCTTGCAGCTAAAATTATTTGAAATGAGATCAAAGTAAATTTAAGATATCAAGTAGCTGAGAAGTGTGCTCCTTCCTTTAATCAATTTCAAGTACACAAAGGTTACAACTATTATAAATCTAATATGTAGCAGATAACTAACAAATTTATGATGGAAACATTGTCGTTGTGGGTACGTCTTGGAAAACCATTGTACAATTGTAAAGAAATGATACTATATTAGGATATGTCAACAAAAAAACAAGAACTAAAAATCCTAGAGATGTTGACAAGTGTCCTTCTTTCGTGTTGTTGTTAGCATGCTTTTAGCTGTAGCAGAATCCACAAGTACTTATGTGAAATGAATTGTGGAGCTTAATTTAGATCAAATCACTTAAATGGTAAGCTTAAAGCATGATTCAGTTCATCATATTGTTGTTTTAGGAAAAAAACTGAAAGATACATATACACATATGCTTGCAAGGTTCTAACTCAAAAAGCAATGTTCATTTTAGTGTCAAACGTATTGCAGGATTACACTGCATTGCTTTTGCTTTTCTCTGCTCAGTGATTGGTCCAAAAAATTGTGCCATCCTTTCCACCAATCTGGTACAAAACTCGAGCCGTTAGCTACCTGGTCATACCAATGTGCTTTCTGCTTTTAGGCTGTCTTGTCAGCTTCACATTTTGAGTTCTTTATTCAAATTAACTGCTGTGATAACTTTAATTGTTAGTTTCTTGCTGGTTTTGCAAGACTCAATTGAAAAGCAAGTGGTTCTTACTTATAGTAACTATGAACATTAACAGTGCTGCAAGAATATCTGATTTGTCCACTGGTTAAATTTGGAATATAGCAGAACAGCTCCTTGAAGTTGTAGTGAATGCTGGCCATTAACTAACTGCAGCTGGTCTGTAAAAAAGGCTGTTGAGAATGAAAATGCATTTCTGCTAGTTGGATCAAATCATGTAGAGATTACTGTGAACTAACAGTAACCAAAAGGAAAAATGATTTTTATTGTAACAAGTTATGGTTGTCAGGATGCTGTAAGAAGTAACATAACCTATACATGACTGTGAGAATGCTTGTGAGTGATTCTGTGAAGCATATGATTGTAGTATGAACATTTATTTTGTTGTGATTTAACCTTGATCAAAAACTGCTATTGCGGAGAGTGATAAACTAATTTCAGATAAGTTTTCAATTTAATCATATCACACCTTGGACCACAGAGTTAGTTGTCCTATTTAATAAATAATGGTTTACTTAGGTGAAATTATCATAAGTTTTCGGAAAATACAAAACCTGGACTTCTGTTAGCCAAGAATTACAATTTTTGGTAGATTTAAAGTGCTATTAGATTACGATAAAGACAAGGGAAATACAAGTCATTTTCTTACTTTTCCAGTTACTGTAGACAAGACAACATATAACCAAAATCAAGGGATGTGATTGTAATGGATTAATTATTTGACAAATAACCTGTAACTGCTAATTGCATGATTTTTTAATAAAGAAATGTTATTATATTTATTATATACCCTGTATCAACATAATTGTAATAAAAGTTGTGGTCAACATGATACGTTGTCTAGTTTGTGACTTGCTCAGTGTTTTGGACTAGCATTTTTCCTTTTCTAGAACAACTTTAGTTGGTGACTGCTCATTAGACACAAGGAAAAAACTGCTAGAAACAAAAGCCTGAAATGGGTCACCTAGCACCAAGCACAGCATTCTCCCAATTGAAATCAAAGAACAGTATTAACCATTGAACTCCCATGAGTGACCAAGACAGAATTTCTCCTTACAATATCAATACTATACCAACCAGATAAGTGATGAAATTAAAGAAAAATATCAATTTAGGGATAATTAGTTGATCTAATAATAAATTCTCTAAACTAACATAAGTGTTGTATTGTTGACATTAAGGAGAATTTGATGTGGGAGTTAATGGGTTAAACCCACCCAGTCAGTAGACTGTGAGCAGTCCTTCCTTTTTCGACAAAGTCCACCATGCCTTCTACTCCCAGAATTCTGTGCAGCATGCAGATCAACTTTTCAGTTGCTCTAACCTTTTTTGACTTTTATAACAGAAGTCTATTTTCGTTATTTGGTAGGAAACTTGCAAGGTGGTATGAGCAGTTATGATCTTATCCTGTTTTCAAGGCAAAAATAACTGGGTTATCGATTATATAAGTGACTTTGGATAATGAGACTATATACTTTTCAATGGGACTATTGGGGATTGAAAATCACCATTGGCAAATATTATTCAATGCTTAATACTGTTCACATGTGGGTGTACTAGTCTTGACATTCATTATCTGTAAACAACATACAATAACTTGCATAGATCCGTTAGATGAGAGAAAAAACCCAAAGCGAAACAAAAATGTGGACAGATATATTCACATATTTTTAGAGACAAAATTTCCTATCAATCTCAGTCTTGTGGAATATTGCCTGATTAAGAATCAGGTAATTACTGAGGAATTGAAGATCAATCCTGGGAGGAATTTAAAGTTCTTCCTAACAAGATCACTTTTTCTTAGACATTGGCACTCCAGTAAATCCAAACTCTGTTACCAGTAAGTACCCCTCTACCTTAATAATTCCCCAACACCATTCAGCTCGTGATAGCTCACTTTTCAGCAATTTTATTTCAGATAACTTGGTACTCTATGTAACCATTGTCTCTATTATTTTAAGTTTAAATAAATTAAGGCTTGACACAGCATCACTTCATCGCACTATTAATACTTCCACAATTTCATGTCAAAGCTGTTGATTGTTAACCCTACAATTACTATGAAATATCCCACTTGATATATGCACATGCTCATCTCATAACAGTTTTCATTGGCTAGCAAGCTATTTACAAGAAAATAATAAAAAATGTCACAGGAAACATGTTTGTACCTTAGGAGACACTAACACAATATTTAAAGAACAGGAACTTGTTCCAGCCTTTTGACTGGCCTTTGACAAATTGGTTTTGTTCAATTTACTGGATTAATTTGAATACAGATATTTACACAGCCAAGGCAAAGTCAATTCTGTAGCCACTCATTGGATGAAGAGAATGAAACTCATTGACTTGGGACAACTTCCCAGAGCCCTTGTAAGGTGAAGCCATCCTTTAATTTCTCCACAGCTAGGCCCAGCTGCTCTGAATACACTGGTTCACGATCACTTGACTACAAAGAACAAAGATAGAAAAATTACCAGTCACGTTACTCCTCATAACTTATCTCACTACTACTGCACCAGCCTCAAATGTTGAATCTTCATCAGTGACAGAGCTATTTTAAACTACAAGAAATTCCGCCAATGAATTTGGTATAACATAGGCCTTTAAAAACACAATTGAACAGTATTTCAAAATCAAACTTGTACGTAGGAAACTGCTTATCGGGTAGTTTGCATTTTGGAAATAGTTATAATGGAGAATTTCTATGCAGGAGCTATTCAATTTATACCTTTGGTGTTATGATGGCAAATGCATTAACATAGGGCATGGACACCTACCTTATCACCATCAGCAAAGTATGCCTGAAATAGAAAAAAAATTACACAGTCACATATCATTAAGACTGAATAATTCTTAAAGGAGAACAAATGATGTGACAAAGAGTATTATATCAAATTAATTTGGAATTGTGCATGAGACAGCATGAAACAAATTGATCTTGGAGATAAGCTGACATTACAGTCATTGTGGCAAAAGAAATCAACAAATTTAGGATTTGAAACAATGAAGGGATTGATCCTGTGCCTCTTAGATGCTGGTTGGCCACTCCACCAGTGGACACAGCGGCATCTAATAACTGGCAGGGAAGCCACCCCAGGCTACAATATAAAGAGTAAAAACTCTTTCCCATCTAGAGGACAACAAAAGTGGCTTCTTCAAAGAGGTGGTTGTAAGTGATCTCTTCCAGCCATACACTGTAGATAAACATGGCATTAAATTAGCCACTAGGCAAAATGTTCTTGAGTTGATCAGTTACCTCAAATAGGTTTGGTCATTCTGGAAGGTCAAACCATTTTGGAAAAAGGTTTAGAAAATATGGAGAGAAAGTTACTGACTACTTACTGCAAAGGCATCAGTGCCTTCCCCCTCGTTAACAATCTCTATATCATCCTGGACTGGGTCAACTGTAACCTCATCTACTGTTTGGGGCTGAAATACAAAAACACAATAATAATCACTCAACAGCAAAATGTGGGAACAAAAGGTAGGAGTTAGTGCTGACTGGAATGCAGATTTTCAGCTAAATTTAAGTCAATCCTCCTCTGAGAAGTCAAAATTCTGCATCAAGTGAGGCTCAAAGGACACAAACAAAATAAACAGAACAAGAATTTCCAATCATTTTCTTCCTACACGTCCACCAAAACTCATGATAGAGCTTGGTTTCCTTGTCTCAACAGTGGCCCTAATTTTAGATATCCAACCTTACAAGTTATAGATTAGAAAACTTAAAATGATGAAAACCTTTTCCTCTGTTTCAAATTCCACTCCAAATATTGGACTGGCACTGTAAACCTGAAAGAAAGATAGAATAGAAAAAAGGTACGATATATCAGAATGTTGGAAAATTACAACAATGGCAACAAAAACTGTCAATTAGATGCTCTTTCACACAATAATATTACAATATAATTATTACAACATAGTTACATGTTCTTTAAGGGTTGTGACATGTTGTCAATATTCACAGTTTTATTGTTCATTTTCAACTATAGTGTAAAAGCAACATAAAGATGACAAGTCTGTGACCAATTACCTTTTGTAAACTTTGAATTTCTTTAGCTGCTTCTTGTAATTTCTCTCCTGGGTCAATACGGAACCCAAGTACATATCCACCACTCTAAACAGCCAAATACACAAAAATCAAAGACTGTCAGCCATCAAGATGATTATTCACAACTAATTGAAAGGATTTAAGACACGCCTTGCTGATGGGTTAAAGGATGGCATGCTCATGAACTCTGGGGTCTGGGCTCTAGTCCTGGTCAGGTCATTGTGTATCTCTCACCATGCCTCTCTCTACCCAAGAGTCAGAAATACATGTTAGAGGTTCCCCTAAACTTTTTACATGAGGTGTGATAGGGTGATTTTTTTTGTTATGAATTACGATATATTTGTATATCATTTGTATTTATGAATCGCCATGATGATCTTTTCATGTCCACATGAACAAATTTTTTTAATCTAGCTATGACCTGTGAATGAAGAGGTGTTCCTTGGTCTGATAGTACCTCACTCTATCTTTGGGATTTGCCCTTAAAAAAATTGTGTGGGATTTCTTTCAATTATTTAAATTTCAAACCAAGTATTTAATAGGTAGTTAACCACAAACTGCCTTATCTGCAGAAAAATGATTATGAGAGATTAAAGCTAAATATTTCAAGTTATAACTAAAGGAATATTAGCAAAGATTAACCATTTTTGCCTGTTGTTTGTAGTAGTACCTGCTGTGAAGTTTCCAAAACTAATGCAAGTCCAAACTTGGAATCCCTTATTTTGACTGATCTCTGTTGAAAACAGCACCAACACTGTGATTTATAATACCTCAATTATTATACCATACAAAGTTGAACTCCCCTTGATACAAACCAATCTCCTTATCTCTTACGCAGTCTATTGAAACCTCCAAAATAAAAGAAAATCTGGATCTTTTTCCAATTTGTAATTGTGGAAATCAAGTCTATTTTTTTTTCTGCAATGAGTTTTCTGTTAACCCCTCACAACCTAACTACAGTTCCATATTCTCCATTCTTTTCTCTGAACATTTCCTTTGGTGCTGGCAAGGAGAATTTGTTGAGCAATCAAAGCTTCTTTGGTTGGTGATCTTTCCCTTTATTCTCATGATCTTAATAAATGATTCAGCAGTATTACTGTAGGGAGAAATTAGAAGCTGGTCACTCTTAGGGTTTTAAGGGCTAAAGGTTGGTTGTTGTTTTGTGAACTTGTCCATGACAAGAGCAGTCAGAAACAAAAATTCAAGAAAGTTAAAAGTGATTCCATTGTTAAATTTAAGTAAGCGCAAACTCAAAATTTTTGATCATGTTAAATTCATAAGCTAATTGATTAAATTAAAGGTGAAATACCTGAATATGTAGACACTTACTAGTCAAGAAGAATTTCACACTTGAACTTACCATTTGTAAATAGGGAATACTGACATTGAATGTGTCATTCATGTTTGCATGCCACACCAAGCGAACATTGGTAATATAAAAAGTTCCGAGGTTTCCCTGAAACAGCCAAAACAGAAAATTAACCTCTGAACAGTCCTCACTCTGAATCTCTAAACACCTAAACACTAGTAATGCTAATAAGGTTTTTAACTAATAAAAAATAATAAAAATTCAATAACAAGATACCATCGAGATAAATGACATTTTAATCATTTCTGATTAATTCAGGGCAAGGAAAATTAGTTTTCAAAATCTGCAATTTGCCATAAGTTTGCCCTTGTTTTGGATGGCTGAGTTCTAAATTGATCATCATCTGGCATAGCCTCCACTATTTACAATATAAGAGCTTGAACATAAAGAATCAATTCAGATTCATTGCTTTTCATGTACATTGTGACAATCTGGATTGACACATCTAGAGGATAAGAAATTTCCTAAACAACCACTAAAACAATGAAAGGGGGTTAGTTTCTAAAGAACCTGTGATACCACAATTGTGGGAAAGTAAAACTGGGTAATTTAGCATTGTCAAATTGAACAGAGTTGATAATGTACACTGGCCACTATAAAGAGTTCCAAAGCTGACATTTTGAACATTAGCCCTTTATCAGAGTGAATGATGAGGGGCTACTACACTTGAAATGTCAGCTTTGAAACTCTCTACAGTGGCAAATTTATGTTATCACCTCAGTTAATAATAGAAAACAACTAAAATAAACAACTAGCTTTCTCCTTATCTAATGGCACCCTTTGGGAAGGTGAACATAAGAAGAGTTTTTGAAAAAAGAAAATCAACAAATTCAGTACCTGATCACTAGAGAGGTTCCAGACACCATTTATCTAGTATAAAAAACACATTTAAATGAATAATGATTAAAGGTAGATGAATAAAAGTGGTAAGATTCTTAAAAAACTGTCACAGTACTGCCGTATCAGTGGGAGAATAAAACAAGGTAATCTGGTATTGTTAACTGGATTGATCATGTAAATTGGCAAAGCTGACATTCCGAGTGTTAGCCCTTCATCAGTACTCCAAGAAAGGGCTAATGCTTGAAACCTCAGCTTTGAAACTCATAACAGGGGCCAATTTATGTTCACTTATCAACTCAGTTGATAATACCAAATTAAATTGATTAAAGGTGGTTATGAGTTATTGTCTTTTGCTCCATATCAAGACACTTAACATGCATGTTGCAACTAATACCCAACAATGTTGACTTTCTTAACACATCCATTCAGAACACAACTGAAAAAGACAACCTGAGTAGTTCCACAGAGCAGAAAGGTTTTCTTCATTTGTAATTTTGGTTTAAAAATTACAGCAATTTTCCAATCATTTTAAACATGCATATGATTACCAAGAAACTTTATACAAGAAGGCTTGATAAATTACAGCAATTTTCCAATCATTTTAAACATGCATATAATTACCAAGAAACTTTATACAAGGAGGCTTGATAAATTACAGCGATTTCCCAATCATTTTAAACATGCATATGATTACCAAGAAACTTTATACAAGGAGGCTTGATAACATGTGCATATCTTCTGGGATGCAATAAGCTGCACAAAAACTCTCAAATGCTATAATATAGTAATTTTAATTAAACATTCCCACATTACCTTATCATAAACTTGCTCCAATGGTAAGAGCCGCAGTTGTTTATTAAGGATCAGTGCCCCACGAAGCTTTAGGTCACGATACAACTTAGAAGATTCATATGCTCTGATAAGAGAAGGCATTTTTCAGAAATGAATCACTAAAGAATGATAAAAAAGGAGGCCAATGTAATTGATAACTCAAAGTTCCTCTCCACATACCTGAAAACTGAAATCACTGTTGTAAAAAGTCTGGGACTACCAGAAACCTGGAAATGCAAAATATATATAAGTCAATTAATTAACAGGGCCAGGTTGTTCAAAAAGGGGTTAACGTCAATTTAGGTTTAAAAGTTAATCTAGGCTTTAATTTCTGGCCTAGAAGAACATGTTTGAGAGCTAAGGTTTTGTTGGGTTTCATCTCAGTATGCCGTGAAACTACAAGGGAAAATGTGAACAAAAAATCCCTTTGCAGAGCTATAAAAACTAAATTAAAAATTCACCCTAACCCCGGGTTAGTTAAACCTTGTTTTGGAAAACCCGACCCAGATTTAAACTCCATTTTGCCAAGTTAACCATTGTTTTCTTTTTTCAATGAAAATGTATATCAGCTATGTCTAGTTTCTTTCTCAAAAATTGTCATGGATTTGATTAATTGATAACAGGACTTCTTGTTGTCCTTTTTTATCTCTAATCATACCCATGATTAACAAATCAGACTCCTGCTTTTTGGTCATCCAATTTTGTTCATCACTTGTACTATTACAGACTGAATTGGACTCCATTCAGTCCTATTACCAATGAATATAAATTAAAGTACATCAGCAGACTTGACCTGCTTCACCCTGTGGATATTAAAACATATCATTCCCAACAAGTGCTTGAAACTACTAAACAAAACAAAGTGAAAATAATGTGAAAAAAGTCTTACCAGATTTGTGAAGATAAACTCGAACCTTGTGTTGTTACACCTTGTTAAGATATATAGAGCTTCTGTCTGTCCCCGAAGTTTCTAAGTTTGTAAATTGGATAAGACAAAAAAAAAAGGATGAGGGAAGAATGTGACATTCATTTTTTCAAAGAAAAATCATTTTCTTTTTGATTGATGACTTCTGCTTTGTACCCTAAAATGCACCGTCAGTGGGAATAAAATTTGATAAATCAACTGAAAAAAGAAAACCAAAACTGAATTGTTTGTGAAACAAAATTAGTAAGGTTATAGTGACTGCATAATTTTGAAATATGTTTAACTTAGCTTTTAATAACAAATTAATAATGGTCACGTTAAAAAAATTATCATACATACTGAATTTGCCGATCTGGTAGACACATTAACAACACAACTGAACCCAACAGCTGCAATAATAGAAACAAAAACTATAAACTATTTTTAGTTAGTAGACTAACACAAGATTTTTTCAGCATACTCTAGCAAATTAGACAAAGGTGTACATCAAATATGTCTTTTTACTATTGCAAGATGCAATGCAAGTTGGGGATTTTTACAAAAATAAACTTTTATGTTTCCATCTTCCATTCAAAATAGCAAAATATCAATCACTTTCATTTCAAACAGTCCTTTTTAGAGAAACTAACATTGAGGACCAGACTACAAGACCATAATTATTTCTGGGTTCAAAGCATTTTCTATTGAGAATTCTATGAAAGAGTGGAAATCAACCCAAGGACTGCAGTTTTAATTTTGCAAGTTCTGTTTTTGCTTTTGGATCATTTGTGCAAACTTTAGACTGAAATGGAAGGGTCAAGAAACAAATTTAGTGTGAGTAGAGAGGGTCAGGGAAGTGATCTTTCTATTCCAGATTTTCAGAGGATAACATCTCTGAAGTAGAACAATAAATATTCTTAATTCGTTTGGTAAGCTCCTCCAGGAAGCTGAAATTAGAGTGGCTGAATAAAATCTACAAAAATCAATGTTACTCACACAAGTTTACCCTGGGCATACTCTGTGAATGCCATATTAGTCTAAGGTTAGTGACGAGAAGTCTTCCTGGAGAAAAAAAGGGATAAGAAACCAGAAAAGGGCATTAGTACCCACATGCAATTTTCTCCTGGCCATTTGATTCGAAACATCAATTCTAAGATCATTTGTACAACAACAAGGAAGGAAAAATCCTGGAAACAAAATCTCCCACAATTCCCTATCTTCAATCTGAAGGGCATTTGAGGGGACGGGAGTGGGGTGGCTACAACGAAGGAAACGTCTCTTTGACGAGATTGGAAATGTACATCTCAAATGTTTGCCATTGTATGTTTAAGTTAAGGGCTCACAGGCAAAGCCTTAACCAGTCACAGAACCATGGGAGAACCATGTGAGCAGTTTATAAGACGATCGATCAGGCAAATGATTCACAGAATCCCATCAACGTAAATACACTAATTAATTGTACTGTACTTTTTTAGTAATTGCGTGACAATTAAATTTAACAGTTAGTACCGTACCTCGATCACCATTATTTCCCTTGGTATCTTCAACTGAATCAAGCTTGTCAATTAAATCCTTGAATGATAAAATCAATAACAAGTTAACACGGAAGACATGCATTTTATTCACTCTTCATAATATAGCCTCTCAATTTCGGAACCAGTTTCTTTATTATAGGCTTACATAGCGAGGTGTTGGTGATTATTAACCAAGAAATACTATGTAAATCAATTGAATCAAGGAAATAAAGCTCTACAATTACCTCTCCTGGTCTAAGCTGCATTTGTCTGTAACAAGAAGGGAAACAAAGTGATTAGTGGGCTTTCCAATGCTTGCATGCTCCCTGCTAGATCGATCTGACTCGCACAAGACAGAGTTCAAGAATCTGTGGATTCTAAAACCAGACTTACTGTAAGGTGATGTCAAAACGTACATCTCGATCTTCCCATAAGTTGCAGTAGGCCATTTCCTATTCTAGATTTTTCGCAATCACAATTTTTCCCTGACAACCAACATGGCGTCCTATGAACTTAAACACGATGGCTATGTAAAATAAATGAACTGTCTCAAGAAGGCGTGAAGGGTTTTGTGGGAAACAAGTGTGTCATATCATAGGGATTCCTTGGTCATGGCGGATCAGCTGCTGAGCCTGAGAGCGTGGTTTTGGGACAGAAATTTCTGGTTACCAGAATATTCCACTTGGGAGAGCTTAGAGGAAGCGAAAAAGCATAAGTGGGTCCAAAATGGCGAGCTTTTTCTATGCTTTCCCTTTGCTGTGGTGTTGATCGCTCTACGATTTCTCTTCGAGAGGTTAGTTGATGGACTACACACTCTTTGATCGTATAGTTGTTGTGTTAGATTTTGGTTCACACCTCGGCTTTATTTTTGTGTGACGTGTTCTGTCTTTAACCAAGACTTCTGAGAATGAAAATTCACATTTCGTTTGGCAGTGTTTATCATTGTGATCCAATGCGATTTTGCTTTGAAAACTTAACTTGTCCAAGCAGATGAGATAAGCACGCGCGGGACAGTATTTTCTCCAAGGTAGACTGTGATCATTGGATTTTACAAATGTAGTAAAAGTAAATTCGTCCGGAAAATTTTAAGGAGGTGGCGATTTAATATCGTGAGCATGAATTTATTTCCCGTCAATTCATTAATGTAAGAATTTGATATTTATTTATTTACAAATCCAGTCAAACGTCAACATTTCAACGTGAAGTATAGATGAGGTCGTAGTTCATCTGATTTTTCGTTTTATTCCGGATGTTACCACCCTCCGTGGTGAATTTTTCTTCAGCAAAATTCTATTGACCCCAACAAACCACGTTTAAAGGCCTCTTCGTCCTATTGTATCAAAATTTAACATTAACCGCACGTTTCTGACAACCACTGAGACAAAATGTCAAACCAAAGCTTTAAACTCTAGGTGTGACCTATACATGAGAAGCATGAAATTTACATGATTTCGTTTTGTATCCAAAAAATTAATAACATTCATTGCTTTGGAAACACCTGTTCTATTTTTGTGTAGCTGTACTAAGTGGTCCGTTCTTTCTCCCACAAAAAGCGTAGCCGATCTGATTTGCATGTCATTTGTCGAGAACTACTCTGGACATTAACAATACGTTCTTTTGACAAACATGTTCAATCGTTTTCTGGTTGCTAAAAGTATTTATTTTCAGCGATAAGCTAGAAAAACCTTGAAGAGTTCCCTGTTGAGTTCATTTTTCTTTATGTTGGATATCATGCAGTGAGATCTGATAAATAGATAATTGCTGAGCAATAACTTCAAAATCTGAATCCATTTCCAGGTTTTTTTTATTTATATTAGTTACAGGTCTTCATATATATTAAGCCATTTATGACATCTGTCCACCAGTAAGTGTAAACTAAACATATTTTTGTATAGGTGTCTTCTGAGTAGATATTTTATAATATCTTTTTTTGTTGTTTATGTGGACAGTAAAGCAGCATAAGTTTGTTGATGCTGACGCTATGTTCTCTCAACCAACTTTCACTACCATTCAATGCATTTTTCTTCTTTTCCATTGGGAGATTGCTTCCTTAACTCTAACTCCCAAGATCTGATTGTCAATTCTCCCTTCCATCTACCACACATTTCCTTATAAATTAGTTAGGAGAATTTGGTGCTAGATTGAGATAACAACTTCTACCTGATAAGTTTGAGTATTCTCATTACCTGTTTGCTGGATAATGTATGGATATTACATGGAGAAGTTACATTTTAATCACTTCCAAGGTGTTAAGCTGTCAGAGGGTAATTCCCAGAAAGGACTATGAATATAAAGCTTGGTAGTTTCTCTTATTAATTATTATTTTTGAAAAAAAATCAGTTTTCACAAAAGATTGTGATTTTATAGTGGCAAACATATTCATTTGATAATTATTTGCCTAAACCAAACTTCATCTGGTAATAGTGAAGGGCTTCTTCATGATTTTTTTGCAGTTGTGTAAACAACACTCTGACTTAAAAAGCTTTATGTATATTTTGGCAAATACATATAGATATATGCTAGCTCTCAGCTGTCCAAAGCTTTTTGCATTTATTTACCCTCCAAGCAGATGTGTTATTGATAGTAGTTGAAATTTCATTATTAAGGTGGAGCAGAGCAAACACTCTAATGGCAAATGTAGTATTTCATGCATCCTCATTTTACATGGTAATTTTTTTTTTTGTTGTTTTTTTTTGTTGTTTTTTGAGGTTACTTTTGTTATCAAATTTTTCTTTGTTTGGCTAGGACTCTACAGGAATATCTCCAAACTTAGCAGTAAGCTTCATAGGTTTACTTTAAAATCAAGCAGTTAATTTTTTTGTTTAAATTTGGTCGTACTGGTTTGCTTTGTATGTATTTATGGAGTGGCCACTAAATTTTGACAACTATTTCAAATGTTTCTGTCACCTTCATGGATTGGCTAACTGACCTAAATTTTATGAATAACTTTTTAAAAAATGATGTTAAAGAATGCCAGATCTAGTGGATCAGTTAACACTTTTTTATTGGGAAAGAAAAAGAAATTGCTTCTTTATACAGGTCATGGTCTTTAACTTTTAAAGTCCAGAAGCTGTGTTGATTAGATATAGGTATACACTACCCAAGAGGGTATGCAAGAGATTAAAAATAACCCTCAGGTATACACTACCTAAGAGGGTATAGAAGAGATTAAAAATAACCCTCCGGTGTACACTACCCAAGAGGATATAGATATAGATAAATAAAAATGTTTTTTGTTTTGTCATGAGCATGAGATAAAGAAAAACTTTGGAGTCCCCATGAAGGTCTGTGGTTCAAAAGTGTGTGTCACATATGAACTTCATGTTGGGCCTTGTTTACCGTAGAGTCTCTGTGGCTCAGTGGTAGAGCATCGGAGCACGGAATCTGAAGGTGTGAGGTTCAAAAGTTACCATCTTTCATATTCTATTTATAAACATAATGCTAAGGACATTGCTGATCCCAGCAGTTTGCAGAATACGTGTCACATATGAAGTTCATGTTGGGCCTTGCTTACCATAGAGTCTCTGTGGCTCAATGGTAGGGCATTGGAGCACGGAATCTGAAGGTGTGAGGTTCAATTCCTTATGGGGACTTAGAATTCTTTCTTTGTCTAATGCTTATGACAAGACCATGAATATATTTTTCCTTTTCCTTACCAAGCTCAAAACTTACCCTCTTTCTTATTCTATTTGTAATATTATTGATCCCCATTTTCAAAAAATGTCTGATATTTTTGCTCCAGCTTTTCATTATATGCTATGATCAGATTATTTATTGGATGAGTTGCATTGAGAGAGCCAAAACAAGAGGGGAATTGATGTTACAGACACACAAAATTGAATTTTTGGAGGTGTGAATCCAGCTGATTTTATATGGTGCACAAGATTAAGTACTCTTAGAAATTAGCTCTTGGTCTGCACACTAAATTAGTTAGGCTCATGCATAAAAATTCTTTGTCTTCACTTTCATCAGAAGGTTGGTTCATTTATCCAATGAACAAACATTACTTTATTTGAACCAGTTCCTGTTTTCTCTTCATCTGATTTCCTTATTGCTGGGTTTCCTTCTCTGCTCTTTAGATTCATTGCAACACCTTTGGCAGGCTACCTTGGTGTAACAGAAGAACCTATAGTTTTTGTAGAAAATACATTTTGTGAGAAGGTTTACCAAACAATCAGCAAATGCCCTAACGCTGAACGAGTAGAGGGACTGTCAAAACAACTTGGCTGGACTCCACGTGAAGTGAAAAGATGGTTCAAAAATCGCCGACAGCAATCAAAACCATCCATTATGAGGAAGGCTACTGAAAGCAGGTGTGTAATATTTTGATCTCTGTCATTTTATTTCTTAGTTGTGCCATGAGTCTGGGAACTGTTGTTTTGGACCAAAATAAACTTTAAATCAAAGAATTCATGGCTGAGACAGGACTTGAAGTTGTGATCTCTATGAATCTGCAGGATGTAGACAGCAAAACTATACAGGTGCTCTTAGAGTTTTAGAATAGTGGTTTAAAATCTTAAAGCTACAAAATCTAGTGACTATGGTAGCATGACAGTTAGTGCTCTGAACTTGAGGTGTCTAAGCTCAAGACCTGATTGAGCTATTGTGTTGTGTTCCTTGGCTTGATACTTAATTCACACAGTGTCTCTTTCCACCCAGGGCTGGGTTGTTCAAAGCTTGGTTAGGATAACCCAGGATTAGTGTGAAGATCTGAAAGCTTGAAAAAAATTCAGTATAATTCTCTTTGTCTGCAATTTAATGATTAGATGCCTTAAAAAGAATACAGAAAATTTTCTGACAGAAGGCTTTTGAGCAAAAGAATAACCAAACCTTGATTAAAGTTAACCTCTGGGTTAGTTCTATTCCAGGACTATCAGTGGCTGGCTGACTGTCAAATGTATTCTTGTTTTAGGCAGCACACTCTTTCATCTTTTCATTTATTTTGTAGTTGGAGATTTTTGTTCTATTTGGCGACATCCATTTATGGGATAGTTATATTATACAAGGTAATTTTATTTTAACATATGGTTTTCAACATATTTGAGCAACTCATTCTCTAATAGAAGCTTAATTTTTTTTTTGAAAAAATAACCATTTCAAGATTTTTTCAGAGGTGACCTGGATGATATTTTAAGAAAAAAAAACCGAAGATAATTAGGTTGTGGCATTAATAAAAAGTTTTGAGATGTTCAAATTTTCAGGAACCTTGGCTTTGGGATCTGCGACTCTGTTTTGTTGGTTTTGGAGAACAGGTTAGACATTTTATGTATTGTACAAAAGAACTGTAAAGTAAGATTGGAAATATTTGGAAAAAAATGGGTGATTAAATGAAGGGAACATTATCACTTCTTTGTCCCATAGCAAATGAAATATTTTTGAAAATCTGTCAGCACAACTCATAACTAGAACATAATTTGTATAGCAGTGCATGTGTTACAGTAAACAAATTAATTGTTGGTCGCATTGAGTTTCAACTAGTTTATTCTGTATTATCATATTCTCCAGATGCATTACTTTAGTAACGCAAAACTACTTGAAAATCATTCATTCATTCATTTGTAAATTTGAGATAGTTATTAACCATGTAGATTCATCCATGTTGTCTCCAACTGACTCCTGGTTTCTCTCTTTTTTTTCCAGCCTCTTACAGATGCAATATTTTTCTATTATGTGGTTGAAATAGCCTTCTACATGTCCCTTCTCGTTTCATTTTTTGTGGATGTCAAAAGAAAGGTTTGTAACTTTTATGTTTTCTGATCACAAATTTATCATTAAACTTACTATTTGAAGTTAACAGCACCACATTTTTATCTTAATTTGCATTTCCAAGAATGAAGTATTTTTTGATATACTGGTGGCCTAAGGAAGCAGTGGTTCATTCATTATGACTTTTGTTTCTTGTTGTTGTTCATTTCCTTCTAAATTAAGGCTGAAACTAGAAAAAATTAAATGCAAAACAATGTGCTTTGTGACAGAGATACAAGAAAACTGTTCCCTTTTGAGTGAAAGGAAAGTCGTCAAAGAAGCTTTTGATATTTTGTTGTATAATTACATGCAACCTGTGCCACAAACACATGTTGTTGATAACATGTCATCAGCAAAGCATGCACAAGTGTACAAGGCTAATGATTGCTTCATTCTGCTAACTCCAAAATCTTCAAACTACAAATCAGTTTATAATGTGGATTCTATTAGCCATAAATGGAGATGAAAATTGATTCCATCATCAAAGTATGAAGTTGTAACTTGCACACAAAAAAGAGGGCAGCTCTGAAGTTGGTACTGATCAAAGTGGTATTCTGAAAATTATCATTCTTAATTTTTAACTTTCTGTTATAGGAGCACATGGGAGGAACTCATTTACTGATGGATTGAGTAACTTATGATAAGATTTAATTAAGAAATCTAAGTCACCCAAAAAAGTTTTTCTAATTGATTGATTACTTTTTTAAATACCAGGTAAAGGAAACTTAATTAAGTCAAGAGATAAGTTTAAGGGTAATTAGATGAAGATCAGGGAGTCATTATTTCTGTTCCCTGATGCAATGTCTCCATATTCAAAATAATTAGAAAAATGCCTAATTTTTGTTTAAAATCAAACCAAAATTTTCTGTTTTCAGGATTTTTGGCAAATGGCTATCCACCATGTAGTTACAATCATGTTGACAGTATGTTCATACTCAAGTGGTTTCTTTCGTATCGGTAGCGTGATAATGCTTTTGCATGACTTGGCTGATATTTTTCTGGAGGTGAGTCTTCATGCTAAATAAGGAGGGAGAGGAATATTATTAAAAGCCTTTTTTTCACTTTTTTTAGCATTTCAACCAAAAACTTACTGACATTTTCATTTTAAATTTTGTGGAGGAGTATGATAACCCTTTGCCCCCTAAGAGCGACTAGCATCTAATATTTTCCTCACAATATCACCCTTGAATCACGTTAAGGTCACAAGAATAAAGGAAATGATCACCAACTAAAGAAGCTCTTGATTGTTCAACAAATTCTCCTTGTCAGCACCTTAGGAAATGTATGGAGAACAGTATGGAGAATATGTATACTGATGTTAGGGTGTAAAGGGATGAACAAACCATATATAACTTTTATCTCTATCACTGAAATGCAAGTTTGCATTTGTAAAACAACTTAGCACACTAGTCAAACTTGCCAAATGGCAGAACAAATTGAAGCAAGAAAAGTGCACAAATGACTGCTCTGACTAACAATTACTACAGAAAATCATTGTTGTTAGTAATAAATATCATTATTAATGAACAATAAGTGGATGAGGGTTTTGTGATATCCAGAATAATCAAGGTTGAGGCAGGGGTTATCAGCTTTAGTGGAAGGCTGAGGCTGAGGCTGATAACCCTTACCAAGGCCTTGATTTTTCTGGATATCACAAAAACTAAATCTTATAATTGTTTTGTTATACATTGAGCAAAAAAAATGAACATGACAGTAAGAAGAACAGGTAATTAATTTCCTAATGTGTAAAAATATACAAATCAGTTAGCAACACAATGCGCATGACCTCAACATGATTACCCTTAGAAATCATGTATCCTGGTCATACATGACATGATTACCCATGACCTTAAGTGCCCTTGGTGTGATTATTATATAATCTGCAGCTAGATGACGTCCTAGGTGCTGATTTTGAAAATTCACTGTCGACTTGCAGCCAATCAGAAAAGAGATAGTGAGTTGAATGTAATATATAGATTTAGCCAAGCCTAAGAGTGGAGCTTGCACAACGCCTTGCCCTGGCCAGGACTAGAACCCGGGTCGTCTGTCTTGGAGCCCAGTGCACTGACCACTGGACTACTGGACAAAGCCGTGGCATTGGCGTGCCGTGGTACAGTTGACCAAGCATGTTAAAAGTAGCACCTTGTATGGTCATACGGTTGTAGAGTTGTAAGGTCATACAGTCATACAATTGTACATCCAAATTTTTTCGGCTTGATTGGGTTACTACTATTTTGTATGATTATGAGGATATGCTCTGCGAGCTCCGCTATAATAATGATCATTATCTGGAGCATAACTCTCCTTTAACCCTTCAACTCCTATAAGTGATTAACATGTAACCACTCCCTATAATATCTGTGAATTATCTGGCAAACAGGTAATGAGAATACTCAAACATATCAGGTAGAAATTGATATCTTGATCCAACACAAATTTCTCTTTACTAATTTGCAAAGAAATTTGTAGCAGCTAGAGGTGAGAACTAACAATCAGATCTTGGGGGTTAGGGGTTATTGGTTTTGGTTTGAAAGATTTTATTCTGTGACTGTTGATTCTGGGTTTTTTTTTTGTTTTTGTTGCAGTCAGCAAAAGTGTTTAATTACGCCAAGTGGGAAGCTACAACTAACTTAATATTTGTGTTATTTGCTGTGATATTCAATGTTACAAGGCTGGTTTATTATCCATTCTGGTAAGTTTGCTGTCCCCTTACAATTGTAATGGTGGAGAGGTGATAGGAAAAGACAAACTTATCAAGTAAAGGGTGTTTATTATTAGAATAAAAAATAGGCAAAGGTAATGTATTGCTGGAAAGGGGAGAATTGTTCAGGAGTTGAAGGATTCCGACATTGAGAGACCACATTAACCCACAATGATGGACTGTGCATTTGACTAAATTAATTGCTGAATGATTTTCATGACTCACTGATTGATTGACAAACCATCTGACTGACTAAACAAACTAGGGACTTGCCAAATGACTGACAGACAGCGTAGGTATTTTATTTAAAAATTGACCCCAACATTTTACAACACAAATGTATTTCTTTACTCAAACAGGGTTTTGCATGTTGTATACCACTGTCAAGAGTATGTGGGTCCTTTTAAAGCATGGTCATGGTTCTTTGGTTTGTTGTCATGTCTGCAGGTACTGCTAAATCCATTGTTTACATGCCCCAAGTGAGAAGTTTGACAGCTAAACTTGTGACCTGGCCCAGGGCTCGAGCAATGTGAACTCCAATTTGTGCTTTTAAAATTAATTGAACCATGCCATGTATGAGTTTTGCCAAATGGTGAAGTAAGCAAAGAAAGTTACTTGTTTAGTTCAACAATCTGCTTGCCCCAGATAACCAAAAGGTTGGCAGAATGGTTTCAGCTCTTTTAAGCCAGCAGGATAATTTAGAATATTATGTATTCTGTATAAATTTTGAGAAAATTCTGTGTGAAAATGAGCATGAGTTACCTACTTAAACCTTCCTTGAGATCTCAATATGTGATACATGCAACAACCCTTCAAATTGTTGTCACTCTAAAAGTTCTTTTGTCTTTTTATTTTGATCACTATGTTCAGGTTCTACATGTTATTTGGTCATATAAAGTTGCTGAGGTGGCCATGCAGTTTTTGATTAAGGGAACGGTGAGTAATAAATCTTTTTGTGCCAAGTCAGGGTGGAGGGGGGTGGGGGTTGATGTCAATGAAGATCATAACTTCCAAGGGAATTGAGGATGGGCCAAACTGAATCAGGCCAAAGGGAGAGAGGGATAGGCCCAAAAATATTCTAGTTGCCTCTAGTGAGGCCAGTTGAAGGAGAATACCATTCGAATTTTTGTGGTTGTGGTTCTTGATCGTGGATGCCCTATTAGTTTTCTTTTTGTTATTGATTCAAATTTGTAGGTGTAAGAAATAAGGATGTGGCATGACAACGTATGTTTGCCTTGCAGTGTACAAGTCAGTAAAGTTTTCTTTTCTTTCCTTATTCTTGCTTTCTTAATTTTGTTAGGTGGAAAAAGACACACGTAGTGATGATGAACTGTCAGGTCCAGAGGATGAGAGGCCTGACGCAAACCATACAGATGGCAATATGGTGGACAACAAAAAGAAGCATTGACCAAAAAAATTTTGAAACCAGAGCTAAATTGTAGGAGTTCCAGTAGTCTTATGTTCTCCTTTTTAATGTGCTAATGTTTAACGACAATTGCAAAATTAGTTGCCAAAGAATGAGAGCCATTTCCAACAAGTCATTCTGATTCAGTAATTTACACGTACCTTGAGTGTGTTGAACAGTTTCTTTCTTTTAAATGTGTCTTTTTACAATTTTCAATTTTACAAATTTTCTGAAGTGTTTTTGTTTAGGAGGACAATTTATGGCCTAATTTTCATGTTCAAATGTTGAATGTTGTCAAGTAGTTTTACTATCTTCCATCTTAGTTCCCTATTTACCAGAGGCTACTGCTCGCTATCCACTGTTTGATGATTTTTGTATTAGCGAATAGATGATTCTCAGACTTAGCTACTATTCACTTACTGTGCCGATGTAACTTTATTGTTTAGTATTTCACTATTTGAGAATTTGACTTAAGTTTGAATTTTTTCCATATGTTTCAAAGCTATTTAATAAACACTTGTGAATGACAATAAGACACAGCACTTGTGGTCTCCTAGCATTCTATAATAACACAAAAATTGACCTCTTTTTTAGTTGGTTAAGGTTCAAGCACACCATGGAAAATCCAGAAAAGAGGAGAATACTGAGTGTCTGTGGTAGAGAGTTAGAAAATGATTTTTCTGAGAAAAATAAAAAAGAAGAATCACCTTGAATTGATGACTGTGTTTGGACTATGTTGAAACCAGTCTATCAATGGTAGGTTGCATAATCAGTTAAACAGTTTCAATTGCTAAAAGGTAATTTGCCCCTTCACCTGTGTGAATAATCAAGAAAGAAATTCACTATACAAAATCATTACATTATCAAGCAAACATTTAATGAGAAGTGAGAAAGTAAACAAAAAGGCAGTATTGTTTATTTAACACTGAGAGTCAACATAATACAAAATGTCAGGCAGACAATGCAAAGGATTTGTATTTGGATGTTGGGTGTGAAAAGTTTTAAAAATTGGGAGAGAAAAGGGAGTGGGTTTGAATTGAACCTTGTCCCAAGGGTTTAACTAAGTACAAATGACATAAACATTAACAAAATTTTTCTTTTTATCATATGAAATAGACAGATTAAATGTTGCCTTGGGTCCGTACAGTAATGAAAAACATACAACATCAAAATGTGGCCAGAACATCAGTGACACACTCAGCTGCTCCTCGAGTGCCACTTTTTTGTTGTTAATTACCACAGTTTGATGTGTTTTCCCTCTATTCATTAAATGAAATTTATGATAGCCAAAAAGGGGTTAACGATACTGAGATCAAGAAGTGAATGACTGGGCTCCTCAGGTGGGTTTATGGCTAATGTGGAAAGAAGGCGATTGAAAATTATCAAGTACAAGAGGGAACAAAAGGAGCCACCAAATCAGAAGTACAGTTGGACTTGTATTAAGTGGTCACCCACCTGGAATGGTGGGGTGACGGCTTAACCCTTAACACCTTAAAATCATATTCTCCATACTGTTCTCTAAACATTTCCTGAGATGCTGACATTGAGAATTGTCTAACAATCAAGATCTTTTCTAGTGGGTGATCAGCTCCTTTATTCTCCTGACCTTAATGTTTGATTCAGGGTGATATGGTAAGGAGAGATCAGATGCCAGTCACTCTTAAGGGTTAAAGGGTTGATACAGGTTGACCCTTGAAGACAGGTTCCACAGAAGTAGGTATCATGAAAAAAGAAAAAGGGTGTTATTTCCTCCCCTAAATGTACAAAAACTTCTCAAAAATACTCGTAAATTGATTTTTGGCAATAAACACAGATTCAGTTTTACTTGAAAGATTTTTCTTAGTTCTATTTGAGTAGATCTGTGACCTTTCAATACAGGAAAAGGGAAATACACACAGTTAAGGGTCACCATGGCTGCTAAATAGAGGTGACCACTTAACAGAGGTGAAAAATTATAATGACTTAACCCTTTACACCCTAACATCAGTATGCATATTCTCCATACTGTCCTCAAAACATTTGCAAAGAGGCTGATAAGGAGAATTTGTTGAACAGTCAAGAGCTGCTTTAGTAGGTGATCATCTCATTTATTTTCATGACTTTCATGTTTGATTCAGAGGTGGTATAGTGAGGAGAAATTAGATGCCAGTCACTCTTAAGGACTAAAGGCTAAAGGGGAAAAAATTGGGGACTGAAAACTGACTGCTTATTAAATGTGACCTCTTAATACAGTGCTGCTTAAAAAAATCATTACAGGTTTGACTGTACATTGCATTGATTAAGGAAGAAAGGCCATGTATTATGATAAAGAACGAATACTTTTTATTCTTCATGTAAATTTTTATATGCCAAAAAAAAATTATATATTGTAGCTTGCCTCTAATACATTTTCTTATAATAAATGTTAGTCCAGTTCATGTGCAAGTCTTATATAAATATCGAGCTTGCATATATTGTACATCTTTTCATGTTCTGACGCTTTCAAAAAATGTTATCAGTAATATAATATTATTTAACTGAGGAGACCTATGTATTTTGAAAAACTGTGTTCATCTGATTGATAAACTGTATTAGTATATACTAAAACAGTGGATAGCATTTAAGGCTGCTCTAACTTCAAATGTCCTTTGCAATTTACCTCCAAGCAACTCACACTGGACCTGCACCTTTATATATTGTTATCGTTGCCTAGATAAATGAGTGGAAATCATCTCTTTGTGCTATAGTATCTCACTGTTTTAGTATATACTATAAAACAATTATATATATTCACCTCATTGTCAGTTGCTAGCAGTAGATATTTACCTCACCACTTTGTGGCCTGGTAAATATCCACCACGAGCCACCTCCACTTAAGTGAAGTAGTTGTTGATTATCACATATTCTAACATAATATTCCTCAGTTGTGTACATATTACTTATCTATGAAACAAAAATAATATGCTTTACAAAATTTTTTTATTATAAAAATTATTCCAATGATTCAGATGCTGAAACCTGCAGCAAAGTAAGATGGCTGTATGTTACATGAGCCAAAAACAAAGTGGCTTTCCATCCAATACCTGTACTAGAGCTGAATATCAACATTTCAAATGAGTGCCTGAAGTGATACCAAATCCTATGATCTACCTCCTGCACAAGATGCCAAACACATCCTGTATCCTCCCTCCACTAACTTTGTACATTGTTGACTATGAAGAAAAATGAACTCATAAAGGTTGGGGGGGGGGGGGGGGAAAGGAGAGGGTAAGAAAGGCTCCTGGGGAGTTATGCTCCTGTAATACAATATTGAACAATTTCTAGTACAAATTAGTGCAAGGCATTCTTCAGGGCAATAGAGGAATAACTCAAACCTAATGTGCCTGCAACTATCCCAAATAACACTATAAGCATCTCACAAAATTTCTTATACCAAGTTAACTTGTTCCATTTAAGCTGCAAATGGAATAGGCAAGGGAAAATCATGGTGATACAAGCTCCAAACAAGCTTCCAAATATACTCATCAGCAGCCCAAAATGGGGTACAGCTACAGCAATACCAAGTGTTGAGAGGACCAGGAAAGTGCGAGTGAAGAGAATCCACAAATAATTGTAACGCTTGTGATTGTAGCAGAGGGGAAACTTTGGCAAAAGAATTATATCTAATGTTCCACTTACAACAAACATATTAAGAGGGTATGAAAAGTAAATATTTATGATAACCAACACTGTTGCTATTTTGCTAAGAATTGAGCCATATGACAAACTGAGATTTATGATCACAATTGACTTGGTGTTGCTACCAAATGTGAGGCAGCAGAAAAGCCCAACTAAAAATTTCACTGCCGTGACGGAGATAAATGCCCGATGCGTGACACTTTTATATTTCATGGGTTTCTGCATGGAGCCCTCTATTCCAGGAAATACTGTATGGCCACAGTATGAAAACATAATAATTCCTAAACTAACTGGAAAAGTGTTAATGTTAAAGGAAGGAATTTTGTCTAATGTCCAAGAGTTCGAATCCCCCAGAGTAAAACCTAACAGAATAAAGGCAATAATAAACACTGCTACTACAGCTAGCATACTTAGCCAGGCAAGAATGGACAGTCTTTTGATGAAAACTGTGGGTAACATGGCCAGTGCACAGATCAAGCACCATTCCTTTAAGTTTAACATGAACAGTTCCTTGAACAGTTCCATGAAGCTACTGCCGAGAACCATCACCATCAGAACACAGCTGCAGTATGACAAGCTCACGGTTACGAAATCAACTATCCACCCACCCACTGGTCCCCAAACGTGCGCTGCAATCTCGGCATAACTCGCTCGGACTCGTTTGCGAAGCCGGCTTTTCGGTGAGATTTCGTAAAGGCAGCCAACAAGAAGAACTGAAGTGATGTCAGTCAGAAATCCAATGAATAAAATTAGGAACAGAGCTGCGAATCCTCCCAGGAAGATCGCATAGGGCATAGCTAGAACACTAGTGCTAACAAAGATCATGTTAATCATGTTCCATAGCGCAAGCATGGTCGTTGCTTGGCCATCTTCTGACAACTTCTCTAACAAGGTTGTTGATTTCGATTTCGAGTCTTGGCTACTTCTGTCGTCAATCGTGAGGGCCACAGATCGTTGATTTAGAGACCGCGAGATTGATACTATGCTAGAATACAACGAAAACTGGAACGAAGGGATGAATAAGGATGCCTGACTCGTTGTGAAAGTTGTCGTGAAACTTTTGCTGTTGTGTGTGAAGAAACTTGAGTCACTCTTTTCTAGAGTTTCGTGCGATCGAATGAGTGGAGTGTTTTCATTCGGCTCGAACTCATCCTCGGCTTCTTCCAATAGATCTTGCTCTTCTTCGATCTGTTCGTTTGTCAAAGGCATGTCCTCGAGGATTGTTACTAACTCTGGTTCTTTTATCACAGTAGTCGCCGATGGAGCTGTGCTAGAACACGGGAGCGCAGTCACCGAAATCGTGTTCATTTCCGTACTCTCCTCGTCCATTCTTTGATTTGAGGACTGTTCTTCTCAGACTTTTATCTCCTTACAAGAGCAACAAGTACTCCGTTTGGCACAACGGTTGTTTGATTCTGTATAGAGATACGACGATGAACGCGCGGAAATACGGAGACCATCGGTCCGGTTTGTCGCACGTTCACCAAGTCAGACTGGTTTTCCAAGTTTTCGTTACTAGTTTCGCGACTGTATCTCGCGTGTAGTCCCCTAACAACCAGGCTTAAAACGTGAACCATTTTATGCACTGAAAGTGATTATGCCTATTTCTTAAGACATATTGGATCGAAAACCAAAACAACGTCGGTTTGTGAAAAACTCAGTTCACGTATTACATGTCATAAATCGCTGCATGCGGTCTACGTCACGCAAATATTGATACCATGTTACAACAATTGACCACGTGTTCAGCACAGAGAAAACCCCGCAAATTCAGCGCAAGAGTCCGGCATCCTCTAAAAAATTACACTTCAAAAGTTCCTCTAATAACTTTTTTGTATTCGAAATTGACCGATAAATGACCGAAATAACAATAGAAAACAGGAACACCGAGTTCTGTCTCGTCGGCATACTTAGCATAGCAAGAAATACAACAATAGGTACTGATAACTAAGAAATGAAAATAAATTAAACTGTTTGAACTGACGATGATAAACAAATAAAGATAAAATCCTAGCCGGTGAGCAGTAAGATTACAAAATCGCAGTAAAAAAGCCTGAAATAAATAAAGAATCCATTTTAATTCGCCTTTGTCTGATCATGTAGCTCTATGTAGCACGTCCAACTAGTTTCTGTGAGACACGAGTTCGAATCCTGTCAAAGCCTGTGTTTTTTTTCCAGGGTTGTTCCGTTGCAGCTCGGTTGCGAGTTGTAATATTTTACTTATGAAATGCATGTACCGTATTTAGGACTTGTAGTTCGAGAGGCATTCAGCGTAAATCGAGGTTAGTTTGAATTTCGTTTGTATTAGTCCTGAAGGATTTGAGTGAAAATATAGGAATCTAAACTGTAAGAATAGATCTCTCAGCAAAGCGATAAAATCGAGTGCAAAAAAATATATACAGTAACGAAGGTTTTCTGAACAAAATGGCCCTGTCGTTTCAGCACGAGCACAAGAATCATTATTTTAATACTTCTACTATTCACAAAGTTTTTTTTCCAAATTCGCGTGACCATCTGTGAAGAATGCGCAAAAAAAGAAAAGTAACTTAGTCACAGTTACACCATAGGCATGGTTTCCACAGTCACAGGATTTCGAAATTCTCTAACTTTTCCCTGACAAACACAACATTTACCAGATCAACTGAATTTACATTGTCACAAACGAATCCATGTATTAGTCACCAACCTCCACCCACAGCTATCCATAAATTTCTGCTACAGTGTATATGAATTGATAGCTCATTTAGGTAACATGAAAAATGATAGATTTTTTTGAAACACAATATTAGTTTTAGTTTGTCATCCAATTTCGTTTAGCAATATTCTACTGATCCACACCTTTCTCATCTATGAAATAAACCAAAGAATTTGTGAAAAGGATGAGAAAATGATGAAAACAGAATAAAAAGAAAATGTATGATTTCATTCACAAACCAACAGGAGTTTGTCAATTGTTCTAAACAGTAGCTGCATCACAGAAAGAAAAGTGGAACCATCTCTCATCATGAAGTGGGCCAAGACAAGAAGAAATCATTCATATTCCCTGGAAATTTTGCTTTTCCCTGACTTATTCAAAAGATGTGAAGTTTTCCTGACTTAAAGTTAAATTCCCTGACTAATCCTTGATCTTAAAGAATTTTAATTTTTTCACCTTTTTTTCTGACCTGTGACAACCATGTTAGGTTTTAGGGTAACTCACATACCACAAGGTTTAACTTAGAGATGACAGGAAGCACATCACTGAGGCAGTAGCTAGAAGTGCAAGTGTTCATGACAACAATTTTTCTTGATTCAGGTCAACTAATAAACACTGTCGTCCAATAACATATGTGCTAAGAGAGGGAGAGTTCAGATAGAGGACTCTTTAATCCTATACTCTTCCCACAAGAGTAGATTCTGAGGTCATATGAGTAGAATAGAATGCTGAAACAATATTCTAATTGATAAAAAAAACTTTAATAGTTCTCAATTTTGAACAACTTGATTATAAATCATTATTCAAATCAGTACAAAAATATCCAATATTGGACTGATATTGGACCAATATTGTATAATCAGAATAAGAACTACCCTCTCAATTTTACATATATCATGGCACCTAGAAGCTTAATGTTTTGGTAACAATTCAAGTCACCATTCACCATGTCTTCTAGAGTCACTTCACACTCCAGCCAGGAGTTCTAGGCCCCCAAAAGAGGCAAAACACCCCTTAACTCATTGCGCATTGATTAAAAATAAAAAGAAACTCACATCACCTCTAAATCCTAACATCAACCTTGATTACCACAATGCACCTGAAGTCAATGGGTGTTGAACAAAGCTTTCAAAAAACACATCTACACAACTTATTAAAATTGATCTTCATTTAAAACATTACCTGTCCAGTAATCTCATTTCAGGTTCATTAAAACAAAAACAAAAAAATCCATCAGATCCCTTAATAAAGATTTGAGAAAATAAGAAACTCACCCCTAATGGCTCCTTCAGCCACAGAGTCTGACAAAAGTCAATGAATTAAAACAAAGAATGTAACAGTATAAACTGTAATTTAATGTAAAGTATATTTTGTCCCATTCTTTTTTTTTTTTTTCCACTCTCATTACAATTATTGGCTTTTTTCACTCTTGCCTAACTGGTTCTCCATATTAGTTAAACACTCTACTATCTGTTACATTTAATTTATTAACTCATACATGACAAGTTTACAGAATAAAACAAACAGTAGCCATCAAATTTATTTGCTTATCATAAAATAAATTTCCTGATGATATAATTTCCTGACATCTTTTAATTAAATAGTTTGTGATAATTGTAGAGGCTATGGCAAAATATTTCCCAAAGATGATCATAATTTTTTTGAAAGTACCTAGACTCTGAACTGATACAATTAGAAATGAATTTTAGATCTCTTAACCCTTAAACTCCAATGAGTTACCAAGAAAGAATTCCTCCTTCCATAACAAACCAATATCAAGCAGACAAGTGAAAAGAATAAAGAAAAAAATCAATTAGGAATTCTTGGTTGATCCTGCCAATGGCAATTTATCTGAGCTAACTTAATAATTGTATGGTGGGGGAAAAAAATGTAAGGAGAATTACTAATACGATCTTTAGAATGAAAGGTTAAGACTGCTCCTGTACTCTTCATGTAGTTAAATTAAACTATTAATTATTTTCACTGAAATGTCCTAAATGAGTCCACAAGTGCTTTACCTGAATAAACAAAACCTAAACCGCCTGCTAAAACTCCAAACACAATAAGAAGAATTTCCGCCATAATGTGATACCAGCGCAGGGAATTCCACCGTAACTTAAGATGAGCTATACACGGAAATCCAAAAGATAGGCATGTGCCAGTGAAACTGCCCACAAAACCCATCAACAGGCCAAAATGGGGCACAACCAAGGCAATGAAAAGGGCAAATGTTACAAGCAAGGTCCTTGTTAGTACTAACCAGAACCAATGATACTTTGTACCTTTCTTTAAATGAGGAAAGTATGGCCCAACAGTACTGTCAAATGTTTCCACCACTACAAACAGTGGTAGTGGGAATGAAAAGAATACATTTGTTGCCACAAAAGCTGTTGCTGCTGTGTTGAAACCTACATTGCCTGCCAAGTTTATGGTAAATACTTGTTCTGTAGCCAAGCCAAATGTTAGGACAGCGAATACACCAAACAAAGCTTTAACAGCAGCTGAGATGAAGAAGGAAACATGCATCATTTTGTTGAATTTCTTTGGTTCCCTCATACTGCCCTCTATTCCAGGGAAAACTGCATGAGCACAGTAACTGAATGTCACGATACCAAACCCAACAGGAAATGTATTTATATCAAAGGATGGGATGTTGTCCACAGTCCACTGATCATATCGTACAACACAGTAGGCTACCATAACAGCCAGCGCAGACATTAGGGAGAACACTGCCAGCATGCTCATCCAGGCAATAAGCGACAATCTTGTGATGAAGACACTTGGCAGGACAGCTATAGAACAGAGGACGGCCCATTCATTTAGAGTGAGAGGTAAAAACTTGTTTGTAATCTGATAAAACATGGTCGTTAAGAGCACTAAGTAAAGGATGGCAGCCGCATACAGTTCTATTGTCTGGACAACACTAACCACCCTCCCTCCCACACCAGGCCACACTGCTTCACCTACATCAGGGTAAGAACTACGAATCCTCTTCCTCAGCTTGCTACGGGGAGAGACTTCGTATAAGCAATCGACCAGAAGAATTCCAGTCACATCGCAGAACACAGCTACAATGAAGATACAAATAACTGCCGCAATTCCTCCCTCCCGCACGGCATAGGGAACTCCAAGAATTCCCATTCCTTGAATCAGATTAGTCACATTCCAGCCGGCAAGAACAGCAGAAGCTTGCCTATCGCGACATTCCTTTTCTACCAACGATACTGTGAAATGAGACATGGTAAACGAGCGAAATCGTTTAAAATTTGTACTCCACGCGGATGGGGATTCCTGTTCTTCTGGGTCCACGGTGCGCACCAAAGGTGTTCGTTCATTCTTCTGTGATTCCTTGTTCCTGCTCACCAGTTCGTAGCTTGGATCTTTCTCGGTCTCGTTTTCAGTGTTTCCCAGGGTCAAAGAGTTCGATAAAGCGAGCTGTACATCATGCTCACCGAATTCGGGTTCGTCCGCCATTCGAGAAGCCGGAAAATACCGTTGATCCGCCTTAAGTACAAAAGATCGCGCTAAGCATTTTTACACGTGGGACAGTTCATTTCAAAGGGGCACTGGTGTGGAAATGTACGATTCGGCAAAATTAAACCACAGGGACGAATGAGGTCAAGGTAAACAACTTTGATTGCAGCTGGATTAGTCGTGGCGTTTTCGTCACGTCGTAAACCTGGAATCTCTCTTTGATTGGTCGAATGGATTTAGTACCGCCTCCAATTTCGGTGTTCTGTCGAACAACAACAAACTAAATGGCAACACGTATCATCTCTACGAGAGTTACTATTCTGTACCGATGATCGTTTTTATATTTTCAAAGTAAAATAATAATAGCAATGAAATAGCTTTCTTGCGATTATCTCATCGGTGAAATTGACTCTTGGCACAGTCGTCGGGGCATGTCACGCTCCTGTTACATCCGGTCCATATTCTCCTTCATGATTGGTCAGTCGAACGACAATAGTTCTGTTACGCAAAAGAAGCTTTAAAAATGAACAACAAACACGCATGGTACGAAATTTAGGAATCTTGTTTAAGACAAGTGATAAGGCCATCGCGCGAACACTGAAAGCCGTCCAAGCTTGCATCAAATTTGTAGCAGATAGTGCAAAAGGAACATTTAGAGTATCAGAAGAAAAGAGCAAGATGGATGGTGGTTCTGCTGGTTCTAAACCGAACAACGACGGCGAAACGATCCCACTGAACAAACCGTCCTTCCAATCAGGTGCAGAAGAAACACCTCTTATTTTCACTCACACCGACGATCATGGCGTGAGTCTGAGGAAGTCGGGTTTTGCAGAGAGCATCAGAAAACTACGCGGCGCTACCATGACAGTTTCGATTTTGGAGAAGCCTTCGGATGATCGCAACGCGTCTGCTTGGCTGGCCGGCTGGAATGTTACCAATCTAATTCAGGGAACCGGCATCCTCGGCGTTCCATATGCCGTCCTGATGGGAGGATGGGCTGCTGTAGCTACAATCGTTGCAGTAGCTGCTGTTTGCTGCTACACCGGCAAGCTTTTGGTCGACTGCCTGTACGAAGAGTCGAAGCGAACCGGTCAGCGCAAGCGAGTTCGAATTAACTACCCAGAGGTTGGAGAAGCTGCTTGGCCAGGCTGGGGGAACAGAATTGTCAGCGTTGTGCAAGTTTGCGAGATGTATGGCGGTGTAATCATGTACATTGTGCTTCTTGCTACGGTATTCAGCGACATTTTGAACGAGCTGACGCCCCTGGACATCTATCAGTGGGCAGTCGTATGCGCGTATGTTGCGTTACCAGGGATCTTCATAACGCGCGTTTCTGTAATCGCTTGGATCAGTATGATCTCCGTGTTTGCGCTGCTTTCTAGCATCGCCACCATTATTATCTACTGCATCACTGAGTACCGCGACATGTCCGTCTCAAACATTCCTGGCTTCGACCCAGAGAAGTTTCCCATTGGCTTTGGTATTATTGTGTTCAGCTACTGCGCACACGCAGTGTTTCCAGGCGTCGAGGGCAGCATGAGAGAGCCAAAAAAATTCCCTATGATGATGAACAGCGCGTTTACCTTGGCCGCAGTAGTTAAGATGCTGCTTGGTATGTTAGCAGTTCTCAGGTTTGGTCAAACTACCGAACAAGTCATCACAGTTAATATGCGCATCAGTCCAGTTTTCAACATAGTAGCCACAGTACTTGTTGTCACTAATGTGTTCCTGGCCTTCCCTATTTGCATGTTCGTTGTGTTGGAAACATGGGATGTAAAGGTTTTACCTTATTTCCCGCATCTTGGCAAGGAAACAGGTTACCATTGGTTTTGGTTGCTTCTGACCAGAATCATGCTTCTCACACTTGCTTTGTTCCTGGCAGTTATTGTACCACACTTTGGTCTTCTGATGGGTTTTGTTGGCAGTTTTACAGGCACTTGCCTTTCATTTGTTTTCCCTTGTGTTTTCCACATGATCTTGAAATGGAAAACCACTCCTTGGTACAGCATTTTAACAAAGATATTTGTGACAATATTTGGGTTGGTCTGTGGTGGGTTTGGTCTGGTGTTCTCAGGAAGGGAGCTTGCAAGAGCTTTCTCTTTTGGTTGACTGTTTTTAAAGTTGTCTCCTTATCTCCTTAGGTGACTATGGAAACAATCACACTGTGATCAGTGGACAGTTATTCAAAGAAATTTTAAAATTGATTATCATTGTAGTGAGTTATTTTCATGTGAGCAGCTTGTCTGAGTTCAGTATAACTAGTGTTTTTTAGAGAAGTCAGGGACAGAGGAAGTGCAACATAAGGCTTACAGTTGTCAATCAAGTGCTGGGGACTGTAAATACAACCAAGAGATCAAGCCTTGTTTTTGGTCACAGCCAAAATCCTTTCATTTTACCTCTTAAAGACACAATCAATCGCTATTTGATTTTTGTAGGCAAAAAAAAACAAACAAACAAACAAACTCAAGAATAATATTTTCCTGAGTGTCTTCCACTAGACCATTACCACTAAGAATCTCTCCCCATTCTCTGCCTAGCAAGGGTAATCTAAAATAAATAAGAATTGGCTCTGTTTCTGATTTTTCATCTAAGCGATCAAATAGCAGAATTAACTCTTTACGCCCTAACATCAGCATGCATATTCTCCATATTGTTCTCTATACATTTCCCAAGGTACTGACAAGGAGAATTTGTTTAACAATCAAGACCTTATTTAGTTGGTGATCATTTCCTTTTTTTCTCATGACCTTACTACATGATTCAGGGGTGATATTGTAAGGAGAAATTAGATGCTAATCACTCTTAAGGGTCAAAAGCTTAAGGAAATGTCAAGGTGCAATATTTCAATTGACTCCTATGCTGTATTTAAGTGGTGATATGTTTTTAATTAATTATTCATGTAATTATATATAGTCAGAGCTGGTCTTGTTCCAGTAAGACAAAATTTGGTGTGAAGCTGGTTCGATTGGACACTTTTAGTCATACATGTGACAATGGTATGATTACAAATTTATAATAGCTTCTAGGTGATTTTTTTTATGCAATACTGTAAGAAATACAGAAACCTATTAAAAGTCTTATTTCTACACAAAATATAGTCTCTATCTCTCATAGCTTGCTTTGTTTTAACTTGAGATTATTGTTTATTTCTAGAAACTCCCTAAACGAAATAAATTTAATTTAAGTCCAAAGAGTATGCGTTAAACACTTTCATCAGTAATTTGCAAATTAATGGTGTACAGTGAAGAATCGAGCCGATCGTAATTTCAAAATCTTGAAGTCACGCAGCACTTTCAGAGCGTTGTGTGACATCTTAAACGAAACTCGAAGGAGTGTACTGTGTATCGATTAGCACCAATTTAAAATGTACATCGCACTGTTTAACCTGCTGTTCCCCTAAACAATGGGAAACCAATCATCCGTTGATCTTCTGCTACAAAAGAAAATTAGTTTTGGCTCGTTGATTGGGTACCCTTGACCCTAATGTACCCAGGAAAGGCGTGTGGTACACGTGATTATTACCTAACCCACGTACTGATTATCACAACAAAAACAACAATCCGCGAACGGGACGGTAGTAGTGAGTCTCAAGTACTTGATTGCTTTTCAAAGCGATTTCTGTTTACCGTATAAAACAGCACGTGGGTAGCAAAGCTTAAACAGTGAAGCACTGAGCAGTGGAACAATGGCAGAAAGTGTGCCTTTGGTGTCTTCGCCGAGTTCGTCAATTAGGCAGCCTGCCGAAGAGGCAGCTTTCGGAACAACTCAATCAAAGCCTACTATTGTGCCCCTGGGAGAGAAAGCTCCTTTGATCCAGGGTGAACATGAAGTTGGAAAAAGTCTTCTTGGACTTAGTTTATCAAGGATGAATTTGTCGCGGAGTTTAATGAGATTGCGTTCCGCCACGATGACTGTGTCGTTAATCGAAAAGCCTTCAAATGATCGCCGAGCCTCAGCGTTTCTTGCAGGTTGGAACGTAACAAATCTCATTCAAGGAACGGGGATTCTAGGAATACCGTACGCTGTGAAGCTCGGTGGGTGGGCTGCTGTTGTTTGTATTTTTGTCTGCGGTATTCTTTGTTGTTACACGGGCAAGATTCTAATCGACTGTTTGTACGAAGATTCCAAGCGGACAGGTCAAAGGAAACGAGTAAGGGTGAATTACCCTGATGTTGGCGAAGCCTGCTGGCCCGTGTGGGGAAACAGGATTGTCAGCATTGTGCAAGTGGTTGAGATGTCTGGCATAGGCGTCACCTATGTTGTCTTGATGGCCACCATCTTCCTTGATCTTTTCCACAACAAGAGTATGGATGTTTATGACTGGACCGTTGTGGTTGGTTGTGTTGTCCTTCCAGCAATCTTTATCACCCGCGTGTCACTCATCGCCTGGTTCAGCATGATTTCTGTCTTCTCTTTGTTCTCTGGTGTCTTCACCATCATAATCTACTGCATTACACAGTATCAGAAGATGAGCTTCAGCAACATGCCAAGTTTCCACCTAAACTCTTTCCTGGTTGGCTTGGGCATCATTGTATTCAGCTTTACAGCACACGCAGTATTCCCAGGAGTGGAAGGAAGCATGCGTCATCCTGAACAGTACCCCATGATGCTGAAAGTTGCCTTTGCCAACTCAATAATCACTAAACTAGCTCTGGGCCTACTGGGTGTGTTTCGATATGGGCAGGAACTTAATCAGGCAATAACAGTTAATATCAAAACCAGTCCAGTCTTTTACATTCTGTCCAATGTTTTTGTTATTGGTAATGTTGTGCTTGCCTTTCCTCTTGTCATGTTTGTTGTTTTGGAGACATGGGATAAAAAAATGCTTCCTCACTTTCCTCACCTTTCTAAGGATTCAAGTTTTCACTGGTTTTGGTTGATCCTGACGCGTCCATTGCTCCTTATGTTTGGTGTCTTCCTGGCCATCACCGTACCTCATTTTGGCTTAGTCATGGGTCTGCTTGGCAGCTTAACGGGAACCAGTCTGTGTTTCATTTTCCCATGCGTTTTCCATCTGAAGCTGAAGTGGAAGAAGTTAAACTGGTTGCAGATTGCATGTAGAGTGGCTGTCACCATCTTTGGAATTGTTGTTGGAATCCTTGGAGTGGTATTCTCAGCAATTGAACTAATCAATGTGTCCAAGTGAGGAAATAAATTCTGTAACAATAAGTATTTCATAAGGTATATAAACTGAGACCTGCTTTGTTGATACATGTAACACAAATGATAATAACTATTAATATATGTTGGATCCTAAATATGCATTATTCTGTAAATATTTTGACCTGAATTTTTATTTAATATATGGTTCCTCAGAATATCAAACCAAGGAAGGTCATCAGGAATTTGAAGGGGAGGGGGGAGGAGGTAAAAGGAGAGGGCAATCATGGTTATAAACATTCCCCCACCCTCTTCTCTGAAAAAAAGAGAAAAAAAATCAGTGAGCACAGAAAAAAATGATAGAAAACAAATTAAACATAGAATTTAACTTGATATAGAGATCAGGAAGAAAGAACAGCTCAATTTTTGAGCAAAACCTGATTGAAATGTATAAAAAGGAAGAATAATTTGAGGTCAGTGGCAAATTATAGGGATGTATACAGGTGATCTCTGATAATTTTCTTACCTCAGACAGCACAAATTCTCCATGACCAAATAAAAAAACAAACAAACAAAAAAACAATTATCGGATCATTTTTGCTCTCACTCTTAACATTATGCTGAGTAATGTCACCATGAAGTGCAGTAGCATGTATTCCAAATCAACTGTGGTCATTCAGAATTATTTCACTGGTATTGATGTGAAGTTTTCTCAGAAGCTTGCACCTTTAAAGACTATTTAATTATATAGCTGAGTTGTAATCAAAATATTAAATTTTACATTTTTAGCTGGGAATTTAACAATTTTTATTGTGTTGTACCTTATTATGGGAAGGGGAGGTTACATGAATCTGATGCAAATTGATATTAATTTCAGTTGGATGTAATAAAAACAGTGAATGGGAAAATGGGAAAATGAGAAAGTGGGAAAATGAAAGAGAGAAATTATTTTTCAGATAAATTGTTTATAATGCAGAACAGATATTTTCAATGGTGATTATCAATATCCACGCTAATTTTTGGAAAATTCTGCAGCAGAGTAACAGAATAAATTGGTGATAACAAAATAAATTACACTAACTTGTTTCGACATTTCACTATCTGAGGCTCAGCAATTAATGAAAACAATTTTATAGATATTCTGAGGTTCAGGAGTTGGTTGTATCGCGGATGAGCGAGCAACCAATATTTATGGCATTCCCCATTCTCTACTCCCTATTCCCTATTCCCTATTCCCTATTCCCCATTCCTCATTTTAGTAACATCCATGTCGTTAGTTTTAATTTGCGTAACACTGATTAAGTGAACTGTGAATTTCCGCGCCCTTTATTTCACTCATTTATGTCCCGAATTATCGATTCACTCCAGACGTTGTTGACAACAAGGAAACAATAGCGAAAAATATTTCTTTCAACAGGCTGAAGATCTGTCAGTACTGTAGACAATGCAAATAATGCTCGCAGTGGTAAAATATAATTCCTTCCCTAAACCTTAACGTTAAGGTAACTTTCAATCACAGTTGACATGGTGGTTTATCAGCCTCACTGTCGAACCAATTTTCCTCCTGTCCCAGTTAATTCTTCTTAACATCTCACATTTTGACGGAAATTTCCAGAGCACCTCCTTCGCATTATTTCTCTTCAATTATTGGAAAGAAGTCTTTGATGCTAAATTCACGTCAACGTCCTCTATCCTATTTGTAACGAAGTCTCTGCGGGAGATTTGCAATCTAAGCTCCTTGAGAAGTCTAATCTGAGCGTGGCATAAGTTCCATTTGACTTCATAGACATTTGAAAAATACTTTCCCAGTCGCCCATCAATACTATAGAGCTGTATAGTCCAAAAAACCCAAAGTCAGACCAGAATACATCCTTAACACCCCTCAGCAGGACGGTGGACGACTCCCAGTCTTTCATTTGAGTCCCAAGAACTACCAGATACAAATAGATTGAAAACAGGTGCCATGTTCTCAGTCTCTGTCCGTGGAACTGTCGTGTATTCTTTTAGTGGAGACACTCACTCTTCAATTGCTTTCTATATTCTGTCTTAATTCATCGATCAAATATCTAATAAGTTGCTACAATCATGTTACTTGATAACAGTACTTAGTCTAGTACTTTTACATCGGTCAGTAGTCCAACAGTAATATTACTAACACTGGTAGAAGTACTTTTACAATGTTTTCAATTCACTGCAGGAACCCTGACCCTTTACTGTTATCAAAAGAAAATCAACAGTTGAAACTCTCTTGCTGTAAATAGAGTACGATATCGAGAGAACCACTCCCACACAAACAATGGGGATCAGACAATCGTCCCCTGTACGGCATCTTCCTATTTTCGCGTGAAACGTGAAATGAAATCGTCCGTCTCCGTTATTTGAGGAATTTTCTGGCGCGAGCCTGCGAAGGAGTTCGATTCAACATGATCCGTGAATCATCTTGATGGATTGAAGCATTCTACTCAATTATTATTAGTCTATGGATTTATTAACAATGAGAGTACAGGGCTCGAACTTAACTTTTTTGTCTACTAGCAAAGTTTTGCTAGTAAGATTTTTTTACTAGCAAAAGAAGGAACCTAACTAGCAAATGTTTGCTAGAGGATATTTTTTAGACTCGCAACTTCAAAAAACCACTCGCATTTCGCGAGTTTGCGAGTGCTAATTTCGAGCCCTGGAGTAGATTTAAATGTTTTTTGTTACATAAATCGCTGTTGAAACTAGTTGGCAACAAACCCTTGTGTATCCGTTCAGGGTTTAAAAAAAGCGGAAATAAAAGAGACGTGATCGGATTTATTTCAGCCATACGTGAAAGAATTCTGACTTCAAGTTTTGTTCGTGACTCAATATTTACCCTTTGAAACTCATATACTTCCCACATGCCCCTTTGCTTCAGCCACTTCTTGAGAATTTGTAACGACAACGTAACTCGAACTTGAAGATTAAGGTAGAAGTGAATAAATGTCCTCAAGAGATTAATTGAGGGAAGGGAGCAAAAAATTTGAAATTCAAAACCCTACAAGTGACTTGGTGAAAGGCCAGAATAAATTACTAATTACGAGAAAAAATCAAACCACAGATCAAACCATAGATCAAACCTCAGATACCTGCTGGTGGGAATTTTGGCCATTGATTTGTTAGCATTTGTAGATGTGGAAGACAAGCCCATCTTAAATCATTTCAGGAATATTTAAAGACGTTTATCAAATCGATTTCAAAAGCGCAGTAACATATTTTACAATTCAACATCCCCAACGGGTTTAAACTATACTTCTGAGGGATACAAATAATCTTTTATTTTTATTTTGTGACGTAACAATAAATGGTAACGCAACACTACCACGCGGTACATGTACAAATCAATATTTGTGTCTGGCTAGTCCAAGCGTGCGTAGTGGTCGCAATCGAACGTGCGAACTTTGCGTTAAAAAAAGAACTTGCTGAGAACGCACCGCCGATTCTTAGCAACACGGGTTACTAAACAGATATAACAGCAAAAGAAGGAAGAAACAGAACCTTCGCATAAAAATGGCGTCTGAAGCGGCCTCGCTCGAAGAAGAAGGCATCGCTATGACTGAACAAGATCCTGCAGCACCCCAACCAACGGTTGTACCTTTGGACGAACGTTCGCATCTGTTGTCTGCGTCAAACGACCAGAAATCCCCAATCTCTTCAAGTGTAGTTGGAGGTTCTCCTAGATCTGGCTTTTCTCAGAGCATTAAAAATCTGAAATCAGCCACCATGACCGTTTCGTTGTTAGAGAAACCGTCCGATGACAGACGTGCCTCTGCGTTTCTTGCTGGCTGGAACGTCACAAACCTCATTCAAGGCACAGGTATCCTTGGGGTACCCTATGCGGTGCGTATGGGAGGTTGGGCGGCCGTAGCTGCTAACGCGAAAATCGCCTTTCTTTGTTGCTACACCGGCAAGCTGTTGATAGAGTGTCTGTATGAGAGATCTAAGCAGACAAAGATGTTGAAACGGGTCCGAGTTAACTACCCGGAGGTCGGGGAAGCCGTATGGCCCGGGTGGGGGAACCGGATTGTGAGCGTGGTACAGTTCTGTGAGATGTTTGGAGGGGTAATTTCTTACCTTGTTCTGCTTGGTACCATATTTAGCGATATCCTGAGCAAGTATAAATCATTGAATTTTGATATCTACACATGGTCCTCCATCTGTGCCTGCATTGCTCTCCCAGGCTTCTTCCTACGCCGTGTGTCAGTCATTGCTTGGATCAGCATGATATCCGTCTTTGCACTGATGTCGTCGATCATGACAATCATCATATATTCCATAACAAAGTACAAGGACATGTCTATTCACAAAGTTCCTGGATTTGACATTCGTAAATTCCCCATTGGGTTTGGTGTCATTGTCTTCAGTTATACAGCCCATGCTGTCTTCCCAGGGGTAGAGGGAAGTATGCGACGCCCTGAACAGTACCCCATGATGATGAATGTGGCTTTTCTACTGGCTGCAATTGTGAAAGTGGCATTTGGCCTCCTTCCTGTGCTGCGATTTGGAGAGGACACAAACCAGGCTATCACTGTCAACCTCAAGATCGATCAGGCTTTCTACATTCTGGCTAATGCTTTGGTTGTGACCAATGTGTTTACAGCTTTCCCCATTGTAAGCTACATAGTGTTGGAAACTGTTGATCACAAACTCCTACCATACTTCCCCCACCTGGAGCGAGAGACAAAGTATCACTGGGTATGGATCTTGCTGTCACGCCCACTTGTCTTATCCTTTGGCCTCTTCATGGCCATTATTGTGCCTCATTTTGGCTTATTCATGGGTTTGGTTGGAAGTTTTACAGGTACATGTCTTTGTTTTATATTCCCCTGTGTTTTTCACATCGTTCTGAAATGGAAAGAGCTGAGATGGTACAACATCATAGCCAGGGTTTATGTGATAGTTTTTGGCATCGTCTGTGGGGTTCTTGGCATTGTCTTCACCGGCATAGAGCTTGCAAATGCTGTTAGTGGAATTTGAGTCACCTCAATCTCATGTTTAGACTCATTAGTAATTCTACAATCTTTCATATTGTGCAAAAAAAACTGTGTAGGTTTTTTTAGGGCTAAATTATGCAAGAGAAACCTTAATTATAAAGCAAATGACCAGATTTTCTTACTGAAGATTGTAATAGACATGGGTTGTAATTAACTTTTTCATAGAGGACTACTGATGGTTCGATAGTGTGAATCTTTATTGTTTTTGTAGAACAAACCTTAAAAATAAATTCTCTACAAATAATAATGACAGGAGACCACCTATAATCAGCTGTTAGGGAAACCTCCTGGATAGAGTTGTTATGATAAGTGTAAAACCTAACAAAACATGATTTCAAGTTTTAGAGACCCTGCATTAATCAGCTGGTAAATTTAACCAGACTATGCATTATTTGGTGAATTTTGAGATTTTATGTGGATTTCACAATTAACACAGTTTGAACGGAGATCAATTGTGCCAGATTGCATCTTTAGATTATGTCAGAGACCTGGAATTTAGGTTGTGTTTGGAGTGTTTTCCAATTAATCAATAACTGGAGGCTAGAATGTATCAGCTTATTCCATATGAATACCTTATACATGAATTGTAAGAAATGCTCAAGGTTTTTTTTTGTTGAACTTTATTTAATCCTCCATACATTTAAAAATTATGATCGTGATTGTGTAGATTTTCGTGTGATAATAAAAGAATCAACTGTTATCCTTGATGCATGTAAAGAAAGAACTTAATTGCATCCTTGATGCATATTAAGATAACTTAAATGCGAAAGGCAAATTTAAGGGGAGGTATAGGAGAACTCTCAAAAACAAAGTCATATTGTAAGTGATCTATGCGGGAGGGGATTCACCCCCACAAAATATCCTTTCATCCAAACTACTGTCAATGGTCGTTTGTATATGACGATTGAGTCAAGATGGCATTATGTTTGTCTTTGATTGCACAATATATTATTCAAATATTTGTCTTTTGTAAGTGAGTGTAAAGAGTCTGAGTTCAAGAATAAAGTATAAATAACATTAAATTTATATATTGTAATTTATTACTTGGCGTATGTGAAAATTGGAGCACAAACAACAGTGTTTTATCAATATACTTGTTGGATAAGGTACACTTAACATTCTAATATTATTAATTATCGTGCATAATAAACTGTTGATGATGTTTGGCATGAGTTATTTTGAGTTATGCAAGTTTGATGTTTTAAAAAAATTTATATGCATAAGTTTACTTTCGATCAATAACGTCAACCCAATAAAGCAGTATGTTCTGGATCCATGTTGAAACTTGTTATATAATTGGAGATTATTTTATGAGAAGTCGGACAACCTCATTGAGTTGTGATCTGCGCCCTGTTACCGAAAATTTCTGAAAATTTGGCAGACATGCATTACTTCGAGTAAATATTTTTTTTTTCAGTCAGAGGATCGATCGATGGCAA